CGACCAAAGCTCGGCCTTCGGCGACCATTAGCAGCAGCAAGATCTCAAGGCGATTGCTGGGTTTCAAGCCTTTTCGATGAACTTGGGCTCGGAAGTGGAGGACTTGGCGTCCATTGCCCAGACTCGTGTCTAGGTGAAGAAGAAGAAGAAACTAGTATCGCATTGGACTCGCGTGTTCTATTTAGTGAGCTCGCTATTTTGCGAACCATGTTTCGAGCTCGCTATATTGGACGTGCGAGTGAGGCAATTTTTTTACTGTTGGACAATATAGTCTCATTTAAGTTAGTCCCCTCACTTACCAAACATGGGTTTCAAGTACAATTTAACCCAGTCCAGTCCAGTGAGGCCTTCCAAATGGGGACTCTATTGTTGTGCTTTGTCACCTTCGATAAACTGAAATTCAGAAATACACACTCCACAACACAAACCACAGTTGAACAAATAATGTAAACAAGGAATAAAATAGTGCACAAGAGATTTAACGAGGTTCAGCAAACTCTTGCCTACGTCCCCGGAGAGATAATTTCTTCACTATGAGAATAACACCAGTACAAGATACATTTGAGTTAAATCAACATAACCCAAGATCCAGCTACCCTTGTACTCCACTCACAGTATTTCCCAAGAACCTCTCTCTCACCCACAAAGATCACTCTCCGTTCTTCCTCTCACACCCGTGTATCAACCTTGCATCTTCTACAAAAACAATGGCCCAGCTTCTGCCCTTTTAATAACCACTAAAAGTAATGGAGCTGGATGCATGTGCTATCTCCACTAGCTACGTGAGAGCTTATTATTTCGATGAACTTGGGCTCGGAAGTGGAGGACTTGGCGTCCATTGCCCAGACTCGTGTCTAGGTGAAGAAGAAGAAGAAACTAGTATCGCATTGGACTCGCGTGTTCTATTTAGTGAGCTCGCTATTTTGCGAACCATGTTTCGCCCACCTTGAACAGCTAATGCAGTCTCTTGCCCATCATCTCTAGTCCTTTTCTTCTGTATATCATGGGATACCAATAATGTCTGCACCTGTTCCAAGCTCACTGTATCTTTACCATACAATAAAGTTGTAACAAGATTTTCATAGGAATCAGGAAGTGAGGTAAGAAGTAAAAGGGCCTTATCTTCTTCCTCAATTTTAACATCAACTTTCCGCAGTTGATCCATGCATCCGTTGAACACGTTCATGTGGTCCATGAGATTCCCGCCTTCCTCCATCTTCAGCTTGTACAATTGCCGCTTCAGATGTAGCTTGTTGGTTAAGCTCTTAGCAATATAGAGCTTTTCCAACTTCTCCCACAAAGCAGGAGGAGAATCCTCATCCATAAAATTATTTATGATATTATCAGCAATACAATGTCGTATTGTACTCACACACCTCGACTCCAACTCTTCCCACTTATCATCTTTCATTCCTTCAGGCTTTCCATTTGCTCCCTTCAAAGGTCTAGCCAAACCTTGTTCGACCAGGAGGTCCTTTACTCTCCTCTGCCAAAGAGTAAAGCTGCCTTTCCCATTAAACTGCTCAACTGAAAATTGCAAGTTGCTTGTAGTGCTCATGGTGAACAAATCTGAATCTCACACGAACCAAAGCTCTGATACCACTTGTTGTGCTTTGTCACCTTCGATAAACTGAAATTCAGAAATACACACTCCACAACACAAACCACAGTTGAACAAATAATGTAAACAAGGAATAAAATAGTGCACAAGAGATTTAACGAGGTTCAGCAAACTCTTGCCTACGTCCCCGGAGAGATAATTTCTTCACTATGAGAATAACACCAGTACAAGATACATTTGAGTTAAATCAACATAACCCAAGATCCAGCTACCCTTGTACTCCACTCACAGTATTTCCCAAGAACCTCTCTCTCACCCACAAAGATCACTCTCCGTTCTTCCTCTCACACCCGTGTATCAACCTTGCATCTTCTACAAAAACAATGGCCCAGCTTCTGCCCTTTTAATAACCACTAAAAGTAATGGAGCTGGATGCATGTGCTATCTCCACTAGCTGCGTGAGAACCAAGGAGGCAAGTTGCCCTCGAGCCTCACAATATCCTTTGAACATGCCTACAGCACTTATTAGTCAACAACTAACCAAGAAACATGCTGCACTATCTTTTATGGGTTTAATACTATAATATTTATCACCAACTTTTAACAATTTCCACCTTGGTGAAAATACTATACAAACTAGTACCATATTAAACTATTGGCCTTTACAAAACACACCAGCTACACAACACATGAATCAATAAACACGGTCCTATCTCCATTCATGTTATACGGCCAATAAACATGTGTAGCTGCACCAAGCTACTTTTGCTACATAGCTTCAGAGGAGGGTCTCGATGCACCCCCATCTCCATCAACAGGTTTTATTCCCTCACCATTGTCTCTACCCTGAAAACAAATCAGCGCTTCTCGTTTCCAGCAACAATCCATCGAGTTCATCATGGTAATACCATCCAGACAATATAAACAATCACACTTTCTCCCTTTCATTAGGACCATTCCACCACTCGTGATTTCCATGGCTCCACCTGCAACAAAATATTTGCATCCCAAGGAGTCCAATCTTCCAAGAGATATTAGATTCTTTCTCACCTTTGGTACATATGCAACATCGCCTATTGTGCGTACCACTCCATCATACATCTTTATTTTGACAGTTCCAAATCCCTTAATTTTACAAGGGTGTCCATCACCCATAAACAGGTCACCGCCCTTACATGCATGGAATGTGTCAAAATAATTTTTCTTGGAGCAAACATGCATAGTACAACCAGAATCTAAAACCCAAGCATCACAAGGAGAAGTATTTTCACCTTCGGATACCGTGAGGACAAATCCAAAATCTTCTTCTGCTACATAAGAATTTCCACTCGAACCAGCTTCATCCTTTTTCTTCTTCAAAGGACAAAATCGTTTGATGTGACCAAATTCTTTGCAAAGGTAGCACTGCACACCCCTTTCTCTGGTACTAGATCTGAGCCTGTTCTCTTTCTCAGATTTACCATCAGATTTCCTTCCGTGATTCCCACCTTGAACAGCTAATGCAGTCTCTTGCCCATCATCTCTAGTCCTTTTCTTCTGTATATCATGGGATACCAATAATGTCTGCACCTGTTCCAAGCTCACTGTATCTTTACCATACAATAAAGTTGTAACAAGATTTTCATAGGAATCAGGAAGTGAGGTAAGAAGTAAAAGGGCCTTATCTTCTTCCTCAATTTTAACATCAACTTTCCGCAGTTGATCCATGCATCCGTTGAACACGTTCATGTGGTCCATGAGATTCCCGCCTTCCTCCATCTTCAGCTTGTACAATTGCCGCTTCAGATGTAGCTTGTTGGTTAAGCTCTTAGCAATATAGAGCTTTTCCAACTTCTCCCACAAAGCAGGAGGAGAATCCTCATCCATAAAATTATTTATGATATTATCAGCAATACAATGTCGTATTGTACTCACACACCTCGACTCCAACTCTTCCCACTTATCATCTTTCATTCCTTCAGGCTTTCCATTTGCTCCCTTCAAAGGTCTAGCCAAACCTTGTTGGACCAGGAGGTCCTTTACTCTCCTCTGCCAAAGAGTAAAGCTGCCTTTCCCATTAAACTGCACAACTGAAAATTGCAAGTTGCTTGTAGTGCTCATGGTGAACAAATCTGAATATCACACGAACCAAAGCTCTGATACCACTTGTTGTGCTTTGTCACCTTCGATAAACTGAAATTCAGAAATACACACTCCACAACACAAACCACAGTTGAACAAATAATGTAAACAAGGAGTAAAATAGTGCACAAGAGATTTAACGAGGTTCAGCAAACTCTTGCCTACGTCCCCGGAGAGATAATTTCTTCACTATGATAATAACACCAGTACAAGATACATTTGAGTTAAATCAACATAACCCAAGATCCAGCTACCCTTGTACTCCACTCACAGTATTTCCCAAGAACCTCTCTCTCACCCACAAAGATCCCTCTCCGTTCTTCCTCTCACACCCGTGTATCAACCTTGCATCTTCTACCAAAACAATGGCCCAGCTTCTGCCCTTTTAATAACCACTAAAAGTAATGGAGCTGGATGCATGTGCTATCTCCACTAGCTACGTGAGAACTTATTAACAATATCCTTTGAACATGCCTACAGCATTATTAGTCAACAACTGACCAAGAAACATGCTGCACTATCTTTTATGGGTTAAATACTATAATATTTTCACCAACTTTTAACAAACACAATGTGGCAAGTTGCCCTCGAGCCTCACAATATCCTTTGAACATGCCTACAGCACTTATTAGTCAACAACTGACCAAGAAACATGCTGCACTATCTTTTATGGGTTTAATACTATAATATTTTTCACCAACTTTTAACATCTATATCTAACATGTTTCAATTCAATACAGTATTTCTCATTTGTGTAAAACCCATAATTTAATTGTGTTTGGTCATGTTTCATTGCTTACAGGACGGTTAGCTCCTTAAGGTTTCCAAGCTCCTTGGGGATGGGCCCAGAGAATGAATTGATGGCAATTGACCTGAATGGAAATATATCAATTAAAGATATTAGCACCTGTTTATAATTCAGGATAAAAACAGAATAATTTTCTGTATAGTACTAGGTGCTTCTTTTACCATATGGTATGATACTCACTGGGGAGATCTATGTTTCATGTCCTCAAAGAAGAAATAAACCAACAAAATTGATTGATTTGTAAGAAATACAATTCCAACTTATATATCAGGACCAAAAACAAAAAGTAAAGCCAATCACCAAGCAGCTAGTCTTACCTCAAAGATTATAATTAGTAAGTAGTTCCTTAAAGCTTACAAAACAGATAAAGGAAAATAGAACCAGAGTCAATTATAGAAATTGTACATGGGAATGAGACTCATCAAAGTATTTGACAGATAAAAAATTTCTACCAAAACTTAAATAAATGCTCTCTCACTACTTACAATACCATCAACGCAGACATATTGGCGAAGAATGCTGGTAGGGGACCGGTGAAATAATTCTGATCAATTTTCCTACAAGAATTGATACAAAATGAAATGACCAGCGATTATTCTCCAAGTATAAAAAATATTTGTGACAATTTTGAACGGTAAGAAACCTGTGTCTTTTATATGAAAATGTAAACTGTGATAAACCAAACAACAGAGAAGGGGTTGGAAAAACTTCATACAAATAGGTCAGATATCTTAAAGCCACAAATTCTTCTGGAAACACCCCTCGTTTGTTCAGAGCATAAACTCTCCTGGAAAGAAAAAAGATTGAGCAGTTATGCACTTAATATTACAATTGATATATCAAGCATGTTCTGCTTAGTTTTCTAAACTTGATAATTAATTGTTGATAACTAATTGATTTGCTACAGTCAACAACACAAGAATAAAGAATATGGAGAGAGAGAGAGAGAGAGAGAGGAGGGTAATAACATACAGTTTGGTGATGTGGCAGGTAGTATTTTTGTCATAAGTACAGTCACAAGTGATGGCTGGATTATTCTCTGGCTTTTCAAACTCGCTTCCATTGCTGGAAAATACAATGCCTGGCTCTCCTCCACTGATAGGCAGGGCTTGCATGTCCCATTGCTTGAATATTGAGATCAATGCTGTCATTGCATTCTCAATTCAATCATTGCGTACACATCACATAACGTATTTTTGTTATACCTGAAAGATGGCTAGTACCTTCAGATGGATCGGTAGTAGCATTTTGAGCCATGGACACATGAAACCAGAAGCAGATGAGAAAGCATATACTGCAAAAGAAGCCAAAGGACGCTGAAAGAGGCCATTGTTGTTTCAGACTATCAGTCAATCGCAGTGTTCGAAAAATTGGCCTAGGCGGGCGGCTAGGTGGCTAGGCGGTGGCTAGGTGGGCTTGAGGCGGCTAGGCGGTGGCTAGGCGGTCGCGAGGCGGCTAGGCGGTGGCTAGGCGGTCGTGAGGCGGCTAGGCGGTTGCTAGGCAAGCGCGAGAATTCTAGGCGGTCGCTAGGCGGCTAGGCGGTAGCTAGGCGGGCGCCTAGGAGGGTTGGGTCTTTTCTCGTTGCCGAACCCGGAGGACGAAGCAGCGGAAACCAAAGAAAACAAATCGAAGCTTGAGTTGATAGAGAAGTGAAATGGCTTGACTGCGAGTGCAAGTTCCGTACTCTGCGAGTGCAGCGTCTGAAATATATTTAAAGAGTATAGCCGCTCGGCTATACTTTTAAAATATTCGAATATCTTTGAATCGGCAATAAAGAAACAAGGCATTATTGGATATTTTGGACGACAAAATGTCAAATTGTCAAGGGTGATGAATTCCCGAGCAGTTTGATGATGTGGAAACTGAGCCCTACTAATGTCATCATAGAATCGATTTTTTTTAACAAAAATATTCTTTTACCGGATAATTATTCTTCTTTTATTTGACACAAGTTTTTAACCATTAGATTAGAGTACAATGAATGACTAAGATTAAACAAACTAATTTTTTTTATATTATATATATAATGATATATTGTAATTAATTTTTTATTGACTTTCCCATTCCATTTTCTCTCTCTGTATTAATATTTGGCTTATTTTTTTTATATACCCCTTGAAAATGAATTTGAGTCTCACTTTGCCTCTTGAACAAGGACAAATCCATGTACAGGCTAGGCTGGGGTCTAACACAGTGTAAAATTTTAAAAATACTAAACTTAGTGCAAATTTTATAAGCTAATCCTACTACAAAAAATATTATTAGCCCACAATCTCTTTGTCTCCTGGCTTGTGATTGTTTTTTGTTTAATATTAGCTCACCTCTTTTGAGTTAAAAAACACATTTATAATTGCTTTTGGAACAAATAACATGGTAGTAATAATAAATTACTATCAAAACAAACATGAGAAATATTGAATGTCTGCCAACATGAAAATTTAATAATTTCTTCATGCTCTATGTTCCCTAGTAGCCGTAAACCTCCTTTCCTTTTTTGCCAAAATAAACTGTAAACCCCTCTTCTTTGGCTCTATTTTAAATATTTTTACAAGTATCAACTAATTAAGGTGGTTTTGAAGTTGAAACTCCAAGGCTTGAGGTTAAATAGTGGCTGCGTTGTCCCTATGTAGTTTGGATTGCTTCTGTTGAATTGCGTTTGCATTGCTTCTACTGGCTGCATAGTATTTCTGAGAGAATGAGAAAGTTTGTTTTAGATTTTTTTTTCAAAGATGTTATTTTATTATTTTATTTGTTACTTTCTGGTTTTGAAATATTTTTAATGTTATTATATTATTATTATTATTATTATTTTACTTGGAATCCCCAAAGCCAAGAAAAATATTAGCCCACTTTCCTCGATTCGTCCTTGCCCTTGAAACTCATTTTGTCTCACTTTACTCCCTTTTCCACGCATATTTGCTTACTTTGCCTCGATTCTGGTGAGGCCAACAATTTCTGTTCAAAATATTAATTAAAAATTAAAAACTCAATTTTAAATAAGATTAATATTTAAAACATAATGTATATTAATTGAGTTTTTAATTTTTAATTAATATTTTGACCGGAAATTGTTGGCCTCACCGGAATCTAGACAAAGTGAGACAAATATGTGTGAAAAAAAGAGTAAAGTGAGACAAAATGAGTTTCAAAGGGCAAACTGATACTCAAATACACTTTCAGGGGCATATGATAAACTATTGAGAAGTCTTTTGGTGTTGTCAATGTTGGGGAAATATTGTTGTCAAACTGGTGCTTCTCTCTACACTAAATAAAGTGTGAACAGCTTGGAACCAACAATTCAGGGTTCCAATTTACAAATTTGTGCTTATGGTTACAGTTCACATAGTTTGACATGCAAGCAATGCTCAATTGCATCTCTCCTCATACTGATACCAATTCAAAAAAATTATAAAAAACCAGAAGATTTAATAACCTTTTGATCGTTACATGATACAACTGAATCATGAAAAAATAAATGACTATTTGAGTCATAATTCGTCAAAATCGCATTCCACATTGTAATTGTATTCGTCATCGTAGTTGCATCCATTATATTCGTCATTTGCAACATATGTATCATCATCATGGCCTTGTCTGGCTTCAGCCTCTTCACTGTATCCATTACTTTCATGCTCAAAATCATCATCATCATGGCTGCCTTCAAAACTGTTCTTCTCATTTGACAGTTGCATATCACCATGACTGCCAAATTAGACTTTGTGCCTTCTTCGAATGCAGGTGCATAACCCTGATTTTACACATGGGGAAAAAAATTTAGAAAAGGTTCTAGCAATTACTCGCAGAAAGACACCATTCTCTAAAACATTACCAGGATTTCTAACTAGGAACTGCATTGCATGGCAAAAAAAACTATTAACCATGTAAAAAGATGAAAGATTTTCCTATTTTTTAAGTCTCCCATTAATTGCCCAATAAGTAAACAACCTGCACAATTGATCATTCCTTTACGTATTAAGTTCTATCTTGCCATGGTTTGTGACACTTGTATATCCCTTTATTCCATTAAACAGGAATTTGCTGTCCGACACTAACCAGACATTAAGAAAACAAAAAATATATTGAACAAGTAACATCATTTGACAATCGAATTTAAACGTGCCATTAGATTTGATTGGCTTTTAGTCACTTGTAGTCTGTGCATCAGTTAATAAGACCTTGGATGTTGACAGAACATAACATGGGATTTGCAAAGCATGAATAAAGCAAAATTGATTCTAAAATAAGACATATAAAAGATGCTTACAAGCTCTTCATTTAATTTATCCAAAGCATCATAGTTGATTTTTGAACGCAGCCCCTGCAAGAACAAAATGTCACATTAGTATCTGGTAAATAAATCATAAGTAGGACAATCAACATGGCAGGACCATTTAGGCACCAAAAATCCCATAAATCAGTTTATTAACTTACATTCTTAGTATCCATCACAGTAGAAACTTTGACAGCCTTTTCTGGCTTTTTACCAGGAGCACCTTTCTTGTACATTCTGGCTCGTTTTCTACTCTTTCCCTGCCAATTTTGTAGTTTCATATAGAGATCAATACATAAGACTCATTTCTGGCAGTAAAACATACACAGATAGTCGAAAGATAAAAAAATAAGTCAAATGCATATAAGATTGAAGTGAAGACTTTCAACACAGTTATGTAGTGTGTGACTTCAATAACAGCTCAGAACTGGGCAAGAACTCTATGCTGGATGAGACTTTCAATCCTATGCTTTCAGATCACAATGCACATATGACATGCAGCAAACATAAACTCATATACAAGAAAAGAGGTCAGGTTTAGAAGTGAAGAATTCCCGCACAATCACAGAGCTAAGGAGAATGAAGAGGCAAATAATGCAGGGGCTGATACTCATGATTAACTATGTAACCTCAATGATTTCAATCTAAAGACTCAAAAGCCAAAAATATAGACAACAAATAAAAAGAAACCATGCAACAAACAGACACTAAGAAAGCCCCTAGCATTGCACCGAATCCTTGTGAACACACATATGATAAAATTTATGGATTTCCAAAGGCATTACCTTATCATAGTCCTTGTTCATTGCTTCCCAAATCATTCTTTTAAACAGTTGCCGCCTGCTTGCTGTTAAGGTACCCAACAACCTACAAACCACAAGCATCATGCCTTCCATGTCAAAATTCCAAAAATAAAAAGATGAATTAACAATCATATACAAATCCAAATCAAAGACAGCACTTTACAGATAAGTCTAGACCAAGCACTATATACCAAATGGCTACGATGGAAGTGACCTTGAAGAAAGCTGATGGATATAATGGATCGGTAGACATCACATAATGGATTGCTTGAATATTGAGATCAACGCCGTCACTGCATTCTCAATTCAATCATTGCGTACACATCACATAACGTATTTATGTTATACGCTAGTACCTTCAGATGGATCGGTAGTAGCATTTTGAGCCATGGACACATGAAACCAGAAGCAACTGAGAAAGCATAGACTGCAAAAGAAGCCAAAGGACGCTGAAAGAGGCCATTGTTGTTTCAGACTTTCAGTCAATTGCCGTGTTCGAAAAATAGGCCTAGGCGGGCTCGAGGCGGCTAGGCTATCCCTAGGAAGGCGCGAGCGGCTAGGCGGTCACTAGGCTGGCGCGAGGCGGCTAGGCGGTTGCTAGGCGGGCGCAAGGCGGCTAAGCGGTGGCTAGGCAAGCGCGAGGATGCTAGGCGGTGGCTAGACGGCTAGGCGGTAGCTAGGCGGGCGCCTAGGCGGGTTGGGTTTTTTTCGTTGCCGAACCTGGAGGACGAAGCAGCCGAAACCAAAGAAAACAAATCGAAGCTTGAGTTGATAGAGAAGCGAAATGGCTTGACTGCGAGTGCAAGTTCCGTACTCTGCGAGCGCAAGCTCCGTGTTCGTCTGGAATATATTTAAAGAGTATAGCCATGCGGCTATACTTTTAAAATATTCAAATGTCTTTGAATTTTTTTTTGGGTCGAAATGTCTTTGAATAGGCAAGAAAGAAACAAGGCCTTATTGGATATTTTGGACGACAAAATGTCAAATTGTCAAGGGTGATGAATTGCCGAGCAGTTTGATGATGTGGAAACTGAGGATCAATTTTTTTAACAAAATTATTCATTTATTGGATAGTTATCATTCTTTTATTTGACACAAGTTTTTAACCATTAGATTAGCCAAAATACAAGAGGATCCCAAGAAACACTATGGCCAAAATACAAGGATGGGGTTTTGCTTCATCTTTTATATTGGTTTATATAAGCCACACTTTTTAAGACCATTTTCTATCTATAGTTTCAAGAAGGAAAATGCTAGGAAGACCAACTTGGGATACCAACTTGTGTACCAACTCTCTAATAGAGGTGGAGCCCACCAATACAATGGGTCCCACACTCTATTAGAGAGTTGGTATCCCAAGTTGGTCTCCCTAGCATGACTGAATCCAACCTTGGAGTGGGTTTGAGAGGAGAGAAATCTCCACTCTACCATGCTAGAACCGGCCACCAAGGGGAGAGGGCTAGCACCTCACCTCCTCTTGGTTATCTTCTTCATCTCTTACACTACATTTGTGTGTATGAACTAGGGGTATCTACTTTGGTACCTTGTGAAGACTCTATGAAGCAAGCAACAAGGAAGAAGGTCCTTCCAAAGGTAAAAACTTGGAGACCATTAAAGAGAGCTTCAAGGATAAGAAAGTCTCATCCTTTCCTCCCTTTTCTTTTGTGCATAAGTGAGATTAGACCTAGAAAGATACTTGGAATTTGGTAGCATTAGGCTTAATAAGATCTAAAATTTGCTTCCGCCTCTTTGAATGTTATATTAATGTATGTTGTAGCTTAAAATCCATGAGTTTAAATTTAAATGCATGTTTCCTTCAGAGGCTAAGTTATGGAGTCTCCTTAGAGGTTTGCAAATGGCATGGGCTAAGGGTATTAGGATCCTTGATGTTGAATGTGACTCTTTATCTGTTGTTTCTCTGATGGCTAAGGCTTCTGGAGAAATGAGGAAACAAGTATGGAGTCAGTGAAGAAGTTCTTAGAGAAAGAAGGTGACATGGCAATGACAATGGATGGGCTGCCAGACAAGTTCTTCGAGTCCTTTATCATGAAAGGCATTAAAGTTGATCTCCTTGAACCTGGTCGTATTGCTTGCTCCTTCAAAGTACCCCCTCATTTGCTGAAAGGAGGCAATTTCATGCATGGTGGTGCCTAGACTTACCCTAGTGAAGAAGTTGAGATTGAGGCCGAGGCTTTACGAGTTTGGAAGGCTATTGGTGTTGCCAGTGTTGAGTTAAGAAGAAGACATGCAAAATTATAGCTCAGGGCCGTCATACCAAGTACCTTGCTCTCGCTAGCAAAATCTGAACAGCTTGGAAGTTGGAACCGAGACAATTCAGTTTGATCCCTCTCTCTCATGTATAGATTTTTCAACATTGAATAAATTTAAATGAATTATATAAATTCACAGTTTGAGATGCAAATCAATAATAAAATTTCATCAGACTTGTATATAATATTGAGAAAGTCTTTTGGTGTGTCAATGTTGGGGAAATATTGTTGTCCAACTGGTGCTTCTCTCTACACTAAATAAAGTGTGAACAGCTTGGAACCAACAATTCAGTGTTCCAATTTACAAATTTGTGCTCATGGTTATAGTTCACATAGTTTGACATGCAAGCAATGCTCAATTGCATCTCTCCTCAGACTGATACCAATTCAAAAAAGTTATCAAAAACCAGAAGATTTAATTGCTTAACCTTTTGATCGTAACATGATACAACTGAATCATGAAAAACGAATTGACTATTTGAGTCATAATTCGTCAAAATCGCATTCCTCATTGTAATTGTATTCATCATCATAGTTGCATCCATTATATTCGTCATTTGCAACATATGTATCATCATCATGGCCTTGTCTGGCTTCAGCCTCTTCACTGTATCCATTACTTTCATGCCCAAACTCATCATCATGACTGCCTTCAAAACTGTTCTTCTTCTCATTTGACAATTGCATATCACCATGACAGCCACAATTAGAATTCGTGCCTTCTTCGAATGCAGGTGCATAACCCTGATTTTACACATGGGGAAAAAATTAGAAAAGGTTTTACCAATTACTCGCAGAAAGACACCTCTATTCTCTAAAACCTACCACGATTTCTAACTAGGAACTACATTGCATGGGAAAACAACTATTAACCATGTAAAAAGATGAAAGATTTTCCTATTTTTTTAAGTCTCCCATTAATTGCCCAATAAGTAAACAAGCTGGACAATTGATCATTCTTTTATGTATTAAGTTCTATCCTGCCATAGTTTGTGTGACTTGTATATACCTTTATTCCATTAAACAGGAATTTGGTGTCTGCCCACTAACCAGACATTAAGAAAACATAAAATATATTGAACAAGTAACATGATTTGACAATCGAAATTAAACGTGCCATTAGATTTGATTGACTTTTAGTCGCTTGTAGTCTGTGCATCAGTTAACGAGACCTTGGATTTTGACACAACATAATATGGGATTTGGAAAGCATGAATAAAGCAAAATTGATTCTAAAATAAGACATATAAAAGATGCTTACAAGCTCTTCGTTTAATTTATCCAAAGCATCATAGTTGATTTTTGAACTCAGCCTCTGCAAGAACAAAATGTCACATTAGTATCTGTTAGATAAATTATGAGTAGGACAATCAACATTGCTGGAAAATTTAGGCACCAAAAATCCCATAAACCAGTTTATTAACTTACAATCTTAGTATCCATCACAGTAGAAATTTTGACAGCCTTTTCTGGCTTTTTTGCGGGAGCAGCTTTCTTGGCCATTCTGGCTCGTTTTCTACTCTTTCCCTGCCAATTTTATAATTGCATATAGAGATCAATACATAAGACTCAATGCTGGCAGTAAAACATACACAGATAGTCAAATGCAAATAAGATTGAAGTGACAACTTTAAACACAGTTATGCAGAGTGTGACTCCAATAACAATAACAGCTCATAACTAGGCAAGAACTCTAATAAATGGCAAATAAGCTGGATGAGACTTCCAAGCATATGCTTCAGAGCACGATGCACATATGACATTCAGCAAGCATAAACTCAAATACAAGAAAAGAGGTCAGTTTTGAGAGTGACTTAAGAATTTCCGCACGATCACAGAGCTAAGGAGAATGAAGAGGCAAATAATGGAGGGCCTAATAATCATGATTAACTACATAGCCTCAATGATTTTCAATATAAAGACTCAAAAGCCAAAAATATAGACAAAAACTAAAAAGAAATCATGGAACAAACTAAGAAAGCCCCTAGCATTGCACCAAATCCTTGTGAACACACATATGATAAAATTTATGGATTTCCAAAGGCATTACCTTATTATAGTCCTTGTTCATTGCTTCCCAAATCATTCTTTTAAACAGTGCCGCCTGCTTGCTGTTAAGGTACCCAACGACCTACAAACCACAAGCATCATGCCTTCTATGTCAAAATTCCAAAAATAAAAAAATTGAAGCAACAATCATATACAAATCCAAATCAAAGACAGCACTTTACAGATAAGTCTAGACCAAGCACTATATACCAAGTGGCTATGATGGAAGTGATCTTGAAGAAAGCTGATGGATCATGGGCAGGGGGTAACTTTCCGTTTCAGGATCACTGCTTTTGTCTTCCATTAATTTTTACCCTTTATTTTCAAACATAGAAAATGTGGTTGATTGTCATGAACCAAGAACAAAACTTTTCACAATAACCATGAAAGGAAATTGCAAGAGCATTGATATGTAGATTAAATTGAAATCATCATTGAGGAATTTGAGCATCTACCTTCTATTCATCAACTTGAGAAAAATGGGCAACCACGATTCAAACTCAAAAAAAGCAAGAGCAATATTTATATAATTATCTGCGTACCTCTGCATCGTCAATATCAGATAGGCTTTCTGAGACATCACCATCCGCAGTTGACATTGCGTACCCACACTCTTCTTGCCGCCTCTTCTGTAACTCTATGTTTCTTTTAAAGTTGGGGGAATTTATATCAACTGGAGAGTAATGTCGGCGTAAATTCCTTGATTCTCCGAACCGACCTAATTCGGGTTCTTTCTTCAGAATTGAAATTTGGAACGGTGGAACCCAAAAACTATTTTCTTTTGTTCAATTCAAGTCAGTCCAGATTTAGTTTTCATTTTTCAAATCAGTACTGAACGAAACCCAAAAGCTAAAGGAATATAAGAGGCCCAACAACCTAGGTTTAATTGAGATTGGGCCTGCAAAACAGAATACGCAGCCCAAGTGACTTTGATTGTTAGTTACATGTTCCTGGGACAGAGATTTCTGCCAAGGAGCTTCTATAATGAGGATGCTATTTGAGAAGTTTATTTGAGGAGACCCATCTCACCATCAAAAGGGGTGTGGACCCCCCAATGCACCCCCCCATGTGCTTTGTTTTTTGTTGTTGATGGTGAGATTTCACCTCCTCAAATAACCTCCTCACTCAACCTTCTCATTCTAGCTTTTCCGTTTCTGCCATCCCTATAATGTTAGTTACATGTTTTGAGTGATTCAAGCGCATCATGCTGACACTGACTTGTTGGCATGCTTTGAAGGGTCAAGGATTTACCTGAGGCCAGAAGAACAAGTGTAACTACTCATTGTTAGCACAAATTTCAATTTATTAATAATTTATTAAATATTCAAATGAATCCCTAATATATTGGTAAATGTTTTTTATTTGGGTTTTATATATATTTTCACTTCTCTCTTTTCCCGCGTACAACCTGCTCAAAACTGAGGCCTTCAGTTCAGTGTTCTAACGGTTCAATTTTTATCAAGTAACCAAAGCTGGTTCATGTTTTCAACAAATGCTAGGATAGAACCTCGAAGACATCTTAAAGGTTGCAGGGTCTTCAATGATTTGCGTAGACTCTGATCGTGCTTCAGTGTTGCAACCCCAAACGCGAATCGCAAACCTACGACACTTAGGAGATGATTGTTGAAAGTACATTTTGTACCAGATGATAACATCCTCCTTGTCAATGCTTCTGAGTTCTTCGGCTTCCTTTTTTCGCAAGTCAAATATATACCTGTAGATCAACAATGAGCATCGAAACACAAGTATTAGAAAAGAAGCAAATATTTATGACAGAAAGAAGAAATCCATTCAATTAACAGAATCGTCTTGAAATGCACTATTTAGAATTGTCATCTTCTGGACCAACCACAGAGGACACAGCACCTTTTGTCAATAATCTGATTCCAATATCTATTGGTTTCATATGTGTGGGATGGAACTTTCTCCAATAGCTTAGCCATTAGCCCACTTCTATATCTCTCAAATGACTCACCATCAAGCCCTTCCTGCAAATGCCCAATATATTCTCAATAACTGAAATTCCAAAGCAGAAACAATAATCATGTAACTTAAATCACAGAAGTAGACATAACTAAAAGATATCAGATCCAAGAGAAGACCATAATCTAGCAGTATTTTACAAGGAACCTTGAGTGCTTGCTTACCAACAATTCTTCCAGACCATTGATAAAGTTGTCAACTCTCTCTTGTATGTAGATTGGGTTGTACTTAGATGACTGAACACAGAAACAAAAGCCGAAAACACAGTGTGTTATCCAGGGGCCACACTCAACAGCATACCCAAGCTGCTCCTTCGTCCTTTTTCCAGAAATAGACAGACACTTGTATGAATATATCATCTTGTCCCAAATAATATTTAGATAGTCAGTATATAAGTAAGCATCAAACAGAATCACCTTAGCTGATTGTAAAGTGGTTCCCATATAATTTCAACGAAAAGATCTGTCACTGCGTTCAATCTGATTCCCACTTCCTGCTCAATTTGAAAATGCAGCTGCAAGATGAAACCAAAAACAAGGCAAGAATATCACCATATAAGATGAAGGAAGTACATTTTTATATATGGAAAACCAAACGAAATGAGCTCGTTTGGAGTTACCTCAGTTACAGAGATTGTTTCTGACTTATTTTTCACACTGGCATCTCTGATCAGGTTAGCACCAGGAGGAAAACAAACAACACATTCTTTATGCCTCAATTCGATAGGAAGTGGTTGTACCGAAAAGTTCATTTTAAATATATTTGAAAGACTAATTGCTTCTTCTTCTAACATATTGCCATGGCAAAGGCCCTCAATGTATACCTGTACGTATTGAACAGAATGGTTTTCTCATGGAAAAAGACCTGGCTGGAGGATGATGTTGAGTTTGATGAATGGACTGAAGTAACCTATAACAAATATTCATGATGACATATATGTGTGCAGTGTACCTGGGAACAAAGCTCGGGAATAAATGATTTCAAATCAGAAATAGACAATTCGTCTAAAGTATGCAACTTGTCATCTGCATCATAGAAAGTCTGACACAGAACTTGCAGTCTCAAGTATGATGTGTGAGCCAGAGGATTCATATTCATGTTCTTTAACTTTCGCTTCATATTTTCTTTAATAACCTGTTAAAGTGTCACTTAGCAATGGACAAGCCGGAATGAGGAAGGTATTGTCAACTATATGCAAAATCAAACGTAAACCAGACATAGAGTGGACTGACAGACCTTAAAACGAACATCAGTCGGCAAAAAAAATTTGACTGTTGCCGAAATTTTTGATAAGAGAGCTGGAAGCTTATCGTTGAAACCACAGACCTTGATCTCCAGTTTTTCATCAACCGGAGTTACAGAAGTTTCCAGATTGGCAACAAGGGCCTGCATCGACAGAACAAAGGCTCCTCTCATGTATACATTCCATAAACATCTCTGCTATGAAGAACTAGGTCACTAAGTCACTGAGAGGAAAATGATCTACATGGATGAATACAGGATCAACTGAATAAGTCACTCTTAAGAGACAGCTCTTTGTCAAATGGTTCCTCAGTGCTCAAAACTGACCTAAGAAAGATGGGACAGTTCCAGCATAACTTATAATTTTACAATTGAATTACTAAATATTGACTCAGTGACCTTAATGAAACGTTAACAAAGATATTTTGTTTGGACAATTAGTTATGACAGTACACCTCTCATTCAGCTCATCTCTAAGAAGGTGATCATATAGTTCCATCAAAACAGAATTCCTCAGATTAGCATATCCACCCTTCAGACTGATGTGGAAGTATGTATTTACCCGTGGAAGCTTAAAAGTAGTATCAAGCTTATACCAGAGCTTCATGAATGGTTCATCAATTATACATCTTGGAGAAGATATATTTGCAGGATCATGACATGAGTTATCGGAACATATGGAAAAATCACAAGGAATGAACTCGTTTTTAGAAGGGAGATGCAATGAGACATCAATTTCTAGAGGATCCTTCCACAAATCCATCAAAGAAGGAGATATATCCTCCTCAGTATATTTTGACCCAAACCAAGGCTCGCACTGGAAATCTGAAACAGTTAAAGAGAATAGAGTTCAAGTCAGAATGATGGCTACATTCTTGGAAATAATGAGAATATAAGGGATGTCACATGAAAACCTACTAGAGACAATTTCAATACTAAAAGAAGATTAAAACAAAAAAGATAATAAGATGAAGTTGAATGGAGAACAAGCATTCTTCCTCTCACTTTTTCTTTCTTTTTCTATTTTTTTTTCTATTTTTTTTTAATGCATAAAAGAATATAGAAGATTTACCTTCTGACTTAATTGAAGACTTTGACACCACATCAACCCTCATGTTTTCTGGTGTGAAGAAACCAAGAACATATTCTATCAATTCCTCATCCCAAATCTCGTACGCAAAGCCGCCATAAATTATATATTCTGCTGGATAAAGTAGTAAATTTTCTGCCGCATAGAAAATTTCACAATAGTAAACAAAAGATGAATATGGAGATAACCTTTTGGCCAAAAAAAAATATAGATATTCTAAAAAAGAAAACTTATGGAGCAGGGATACTTTAGGTCAGGCAAAACATGACGAAGGAAAGATGTGCAGTTTCACTAACAAAAGATAACCTGCAAGTCGTGAAGCATAAGCATTCTGGTGCTCTTCCTCTGAATTTAAATTCCATGTTTCCAATATCCTGGAGTTCCCTATATATCCATTCTTGTGGAGACACTTGATGCAGTAACTTAATGTATTGATAGACAATGCCAAATATGTCGAACATCTGCAAGATAAGCATTGCATATAGAAAATGAAATGTAATAAAGGTACTTTGCTCCAAAGTTACTGATGCTTTCCAGTAACTATGCCAGTAGAATATATTAAGGTAAGAATCTACGAAATCATCAAGTTCTCCCAAACTCTCTAGGAAAGGAAATCCAAAAGTAAGGTAGGTTCCTAAGATGATATAAAAACTCATCAATGGGATAATAAAATTTATCTTATATCAAAATATTCTCTAAGAGGATAAAATACAGATGATACCTTTTCCAATCCAGAATCAGTGAGGCGTATGGACACCTCGAAGACATAAGCCACAGAAGTTCTGTAAATACATCCACTGCCAACGCCAGCAGCCAAAATGTTGCCCACCCTCTAGCTTTGAAGTAAAAATGCAAACTTCGCCAGCCCTCTAGAAAACCAATAACTTAGTGCTCAAAATTTAAGGAAAATTTCTCACTGTGTAGCTGGAAAACAATCTATATAATAATCATTCAGAAGGAAAGTGACAGAAGAACTGAAGCATTCAACCTCCCTTCTTAAAATCAAATAAACTAGATCTTACAATCAAAGTCTCCACTCGAAAAAGGGAAACTAGCAATTTAAGACTTAAAAACCATTTTCTCCCTGTAAAGGACACTTTCTGTTTTGTAGAGGATTAATAATTAACATAAAATTAGTTAGTGATGAATCATCTTACCATGCCCAAGGAGATGAGCTAAATACTCTGCTGGTTTCTTCAAATAGTGTTGATGAAGACATGGAAGTGTCCATGTTAAGTAGAGCATATGAAAATCTCTTACAGGCTCTAGCCTGTAAAGTTTTCCAGCTTTCCAGATAGGGCGTTCTGCCTTGAACTGCAGATTTTCTGGGGGGCCTTTTTTGACATTACTAAACAACTCCACAACCAAATCTTCAAATATATTAAGAGATTCTGCAGCAATGACAACTACTACAATCAACATAACAAAGA